GAGAGAGAGAGAGAGAGAGAGAGAGAGAGAGAGAGAGAGAGAGAGGGTATGATCTAGTTGGAGGGGACTCCAAACCTCAGAGGTCTCCAGGTTGCCAAGCCCTCATCTCAAACCATCAGGCAAGGCAGGTGTTTTCATTGAGGAAAACAGGGCCCAAAGCCTGCATAGTAGTTGGGATGGACAGAGCTCCAAGAGCATATAGTGCCTGGAAATTCCACAAGGAACATAAACCTAGGGCTCTCCCATCCGAGACCTCAGCGCCTTCTCCAGGCCCCTCACCACTGTCTATACAGGGCTACCATGAGCCCATCCTGCTCTTGGTGTTGAGTTCCCCTGGTTTCAGAACAGGGAAGGGCAACACATAGCAGACCGGCTTGGTATGTGCCATGGGTAACTTCATGTCAGTCTTAGGGGCTTCATGGAAAAAGAAAGTTGCTGGCTGTCTTAGTTTCTATTGCTGTGAAGGAACACCATGATCACAACTCTTAGGAAAGAAAAGATTTAATTAGTGTGACTTACATTTTCAGAGGTTTAATCCATTATTATGGTGCAACATATGGTGCAAGCAGACATGGTGCTGGAGAAGGAGGTGAGTATCTTACATCTCGAAGGCAACAGGAAGTGAACTAGGACACTGGGTGGTATCTTGAGCATATGAGACCTCAAAGCCTGCCTCCACAGTGACACACCTACTCCAGCAAGACCACACCTCCTAATAGTGCCTCTTCCTTTGGGGTCATTTCCTTTCAAACCACCACACTGGCTCAGAGGGCCAGGGACACAGGGTAGGGGTTGGCCACTAACATGGTGGGGAGGCTCTCCAAAGAGATGCTGAGGTAGGTGTGGTATTGAACAAGTCCTACAAGAGAGGCTCTGGGCTCCTAACAGATACTAGGTCAGGATAGGGGGAAAGAAGCCTTTCTCATCACAGAAAAAAAAAAAAAAAAAAAAAAAGCAAGCCAGGGTTTCTTTACCATCTAGGTCAGGCAGCTTGTTGCATTAACATTTAATGTCATCAACTCCCTGGGAGACATTTAGGTTCCATCCTCACATCCCAATTGAGGGTACGCTCTGGGGGCAGCTGCTTGCACTAGTGGGGTTGTCCTTCATTTCACAGTCCTTCTTCCCAAGGATTCGGGCTCAGTATTCCCTTCCAAATTACTCTTGGTCTCTGGGACAATCACTGGGATAAGGGGAAACCTGGCCTTGAGGTCTGATAGACCTGCACAAAGAAAGAACAACTGTTCTAAGTCTGAGACATAGAGGCATTACAGGGTCCAATCCCAGAGATGCCAACCTGTGCCACACTAGCCAGTCTATAGAATCTGCAAGTCCTCCTGGTGACTCTAGGGTTGGGAGGAGAGGGGAATGGGGCATACCTGGTCCCCAGGTAAGAATGGGATTTCATAGTAGATTTAGGGAATTCTCTCATGAGGATGCCTCATTATCCAGGACTCCCAAATATTCAGGCTGCTTAGGACAGAAGGTAGCCAGACTTTTGCCTTCTATCAGCACCTCCTCTCTGGGGGAACACAGGAGCTCTGGGACAGACACCTGCATTGTGTGTGTGTATGTGGGGTTGCTCGGGTTCCCTACTCTGCTGCCTATAGGCAGGTCACAGGCTTCCTGCACAGGGAGACTTCGGTCTCTCCACCTCCTAGGATGAGACCTGCATGAATGGAATCATGCCCAATTAATTTCCGTGTCTGCAGGCTGTGACATGGTCCTCCTACTCTCCTACTTCCAAGACCACCCTCTGGGGTCCAGTATCCCTGTGGCCTCCAGGGAACTCGCCTGAAATCGTCCAGGAGGCTCCTAGTGCTATTAGGAGACCCTTTTCTCCAGGCCAGAGGCCTTGGAGTCTCCCATTCCCTTTGGTGCTATTCTGAGAGACTCTGATTAAGGTCCCTTGACCCTTGCACCTGATGCCTCCCTCCCCATTTGCTCTCAGTGGTTTTCCCTCTCCTCCATCCCCACTTCAGGCTGGGCTGTTTTGAGCCCCCCACCCCCATCCTGCAGTGCCCAAAGAGAAGTCCCAGCAAAACTGAAGGGCAGTCAGTGTCTGGGTGGGAGATTTCCTCCTCCCTCCCTGCGACAGACTGGCAGCCGCGTGAGGGCGGGCGGGGGCCTGGCCGCCGAATTCTTTGTCTTCGAGGTGTCTCGGCAGGGGTCCGGTGGAGCCTGGCTGAATACACGGCGGCTGACCGAGGGCTCCTGGAGGGAGTACACTTCAAAAGGAACCTCCGGGCAGCTACGGAGGTGGGGGTGGGGGTCCCCACCTCAGGTCTGAAGTCCCTGTCAGTCACACACAGCAGGCAGGCTTCCACGTGCCACATCTTTGCGGCAGGTCCCGGTTGCCTACTCTACCCTCATCCAGGATACCACCTTTCCTGCCCAGGGCCGAGCCTCCCGTCCACTAGCTGGTATTGGAGTGAGAGTAACCCTTTCTCGCCATGTGCAGCCTACCCTGCGGTTGGGGTGCCTATCAGAGAGAAGACCTTTCTATGAGTACTCGTGGAAAGGGGGCTCCCTCACTGCCTGGGCAGGGTCCATTCCTGCGTTGCCACCCGCAGGCAGGAGGAAGAAAATTAAGCTTGTGTTGAAGGAAGGACACCTGGCAAGAGAGACGAAAGGACTCCGGAATCCCCTCCTCTGGGGAACTTTCAAGTCGGGGGAAATCCCCACGCAGGCCTCTACACTCTGCGGCGGCAACATGCGCGGCCACTCCCCACTTCTGGTCCCCTCCTCCTTTAGTGCTTGCGCTTTTCCTTCTGTTTGTTTCCTATCCGCTGAACAGCACCTGGGGCTGCCTCGGGCTCTGGGATGCATGTTAGAAGCACCTGCATACACACAGCCCGTCAAGGAACGACCAGTTTTAGCCACACCAGGACAGCTTCCCACGCACCTCTCAGGCAACCAACATCTCATTCAAAGCCACCGAGAGCCTTTGCCGCTACCTTCTAGGGCTGGCACCTGTGGAATCTTCAGGATCTAAATGACCCTAAGCAGCCATCTAGATCAGCCTCATACCACAGTGGCGTGTTGCAGGCCAGGGAAGGCAACTTCCCAGCGCTCAGAAACACTAGCATTGGGCTGTTGAACCCCAAGCTGTGGTGTATCACTTGAGATCTAACCCTCCTCGATGTTCAGCAAACTATGGGACCCCCCCACTTCCCCCGGCAGAGCCACAGTCCAGTACTCAGCTAAAGGGTACCTAACAGCCAAGAGCCTGTGGAAGGAAGATCTCTCCTGACCGAAGCGTCAGCCCTCGGGCTCTACATTCCCGGATAGTGGCCAGCCCCCTCCCACTGTCCTCCCAGGTGAACCAGAAATGGGACTGCAGAACCTAGGGGGGGGGCATCTTTTGGGAATGCCCAGCCCCTGAGGATGTTTCTAGGGGTGCCTATCACAGTACCATCTTCCAGCTCCAGGTGGAGAGTTACCATGCTGCTCCATAGCCCCCTTCACTTCTCGCCTCCTTCACCTCCCTCCCCCTTCTTCCTCTGTCTGGGATCTCAACCTCGTCCCACCCCACCCCCGCCCCTGTTTTCTGTCTCAGTGTCTCTAACCACTTGTCTCGATCTCCCCTTCCTCACCTCTTTCATCTCTCCCTCTACCCCCTCCAGCCGTGGATCGAGCTAGGAACGCGCAGAAGCAGTGACAAGCCCAGGCGGCTCTCCCGACCCTTGGTGCCCCCAGGGGCCAGTTCCTCGCTCTCCCTACACCAGAAGAAGCCGTGTGCGGAGAGCAGACCAGCAGGGGCCGTGGTTCTGAGCTGTGGGCACCAGCCGCCACGATCAAAGACTAGGAATGTCTACTTCCCTGTAGGACTTCCCCTAATCCTGTCCACCCCCATCAGCAGAGAGCCCGCCATTCCTGGCCAGGGAGGTTTGGGTGGGCATCTTCTTTGGCTCTCTACACGGTTCGGGGAGCAGGTCCCACCAAGGCTTCTCCTTAGGCTTGCTTTCTTGATCCCAAGCCAGGAGCATTTTAAGGGCGCAGTATCTTCTGAGGCCCGGGAGAGAGGCTGAGGGCAGGTACCTAGGTGTGGGGACCGAGTCTTAACAACCTAGCCATAATCTCGGCACCATTCCTGGGGCTTGCACCTAACCCCGGGCTCTGGAAGGAAAAAAGGCCCCTTTGAGGCCTGGACGCTTCCTTCTGCATATGGGCTATACAGGACGTCTTGGGGTGAATCTAGTGTCTGCACTGGACAACGCTTGAACACCAAACACCAGGTTCTAGTTTCTTATTCGCAGAAGGGCCAGGAATGCTGTTCAGAAGACCAGGGGCACTGTGGAGGGATGGTGCTCTGGAGGTCCCCAACCACTACCGGCCAGGGCTGATATGTTTCACTGGTCCCAAATGGTCCCACCCCAAGATCCAAGGAAGACTGCAGGTGTTGCTGAGGTCTGGCCTGCAGGCCTGCAGGAGAAAGTGGCCGAGTCCTCCCGCAGGAAATGCTAACGGCGGCTGGTGTCAGTTGCAGGAAATGCAAAGGCTGCAGGAGGTCTCGATACCAATCTGACGATTGACAAAAGACTCAAATGACACTATCTCTGTCCCCCCCCCCCCCGCGTAGCCGGCTGGCAGACCTTCGAGCCTCCGCGGACTCTGGCGTGCGCCCCTCGGACACCCTGGAAGCGACCTGCGGCCGGCTGACGGGGCTGCCAGCTCGCGGGCTCGGAAAGGCGGGAGGCTGGGAGGGGTTGTGTTTCCCAAGCCCCTGATCCCCGCCGCGCGATCTGCAAACAACCCCTTGCTTTTTAGTCCCGATTCCTTACGGGCCCAAGATCCAAGGGATCACAGTCCCCCCGACAGGAAAGGGAGCAACCCATCAATGCCCAAACCGAACACTTCACCACGTGAACACCGGGTCAAAGCCCCAGCTCCCTAAACCTGGCTCTCGTGGTCTGGGGAGGGAGCGTCTCGGGCCGGCAGAGAATCCAGCGTGCCGGGTTCTCCCGAGGCCTCCGTGCGCCCGGGGCGCAGGCTTTGCCCAAGTTTGCCGGGAGATGCCCTTCCCAGAGCCGGAGTTGTGGGCCGGGAGGGAGGGGCGCGTGATTGACAGGCTGAACTACAGACTCATCTCTTACCTTAGGCCGCGGGCGCTGATTGGCTGCTCGCTGACATCCTCAAACCCGGCTGCTCGGCGCTGGGCTCCGGAGGGGGGCGGCTGCGGGTGGAGGTGCGCTTCTGAAAAGCCCGAAAGTCATTTCCAACCTCAAGTGGACTTTGTTCCAACTATTGGGGGCGTCGCTCCCCCTCTTCATGATCGCCGGCAAACTTCCTCCTCGGCGCTGCTTCTAATGGAGCCCCACCTGCTCGGGCTTCTACTCGGCCTCCTGCTCAGTGGCACCAGGGTCTTCGCCGGCTACCCAATTTGGTGGTAAGACTTGCCTCCTGTCTGCTTGCGGCCCCGATCTCTCGGCCGCGCCCGGGGACGGTGGGGGGCTCTGGCCGGGTCTGGATAGCCGCAGGCCTAGGGCTCCTTTCTCCTTGCTTCCCTCCAGCCCCCCAGCCGTCCATCCCTCCTGGATTTTCTGCTGGTGTTGCCTACCGAATCCAACTCCTGGCTTCTCCCGATAATCACCATTTTCCCTGCTACCCGCCGCAGAGGCGGGAGGGCTCTCCCTACCCCTGAAGCTCTCGTTCTTAGTCTTCACCCTCTCCCACTCTAATTTGAGGGTCCCGGAGACCCTTCATTTGCTTACAGTTGAATTTCTGTGCTGTCCCTGGGGCCCGGCCACTCCTCTTCTCCATTTTAGGGTCTATACATGGGCAAAATTATCCTGTCCTTCTTCGCCACCCTACCTCTTCGGTGTCTCGGTCAAGAGATTTCCCCCACAATACTCGCGTTTGCCTTGATATTTCAGACCCTAAGGGGGATGGGGGGCATTTCACCAGATTCTCCCCACTCTGCTCTAGATTAATTTTGAGCCTCTGAAGTGAATGTAGGATTTGCTGGTCCTAGATGCCATTGCTGATCCGGGTGTATTCGTTCCTTGCTTGTCCATCCCGGAGAAAAGGGGGTAGGGGGGACTTTGAAAATGTAGTTGTTTGGGAGGGGTAGGGTTGTTGTTCTTTGAGTGAAAACCCAATTCTCATTGTCAAATTCGTTGCTTTTGGAAGACGGAGACGGGGAGAGAAAGGGAGAGGGAAAGGAGAAATCTGTCCCTGAGAAAAACGGATACAAAAGGCATTTTAGTAAATAAGGCTGGGAAAGAAGGCGGAGTGAGGGGACTCACTGGAAGATAAACAGCCTTTTGGGAGCCCTCACCCCACCCCCGGCTCCAGGGACTCCCCTGTTTTGCAAGCTCTATTGCCGCTCCCCCCCCCTGCAAGTCCTATAAGGGAAGACACTGAAACCAGTTTTCTAAATTATACCCCAGCTCTCCCAGTCTCCAGCCCCCTGCATTCCGGAAAACTTTAATAAAAGAACCCTCCCCTCCTGGACAGCAGCGGCAAGCGGCCTCAGGGTGGGAGGTGAGGAGGAGGAATTTGGGACCTGTGAGTAAGGAGACTGGCCCCTGGGGTGAAAGTTAGAGAGGTGTGCCACCAGGGTGACGTGCTGCCTGAATGCTCCCCCCCTCCTTGCCTGCTACCTGCAAGCCTGAAACATGAGGCTCACAGCCTACAAGATGCCGGGCCACACCCCACATCTTCCAGCTGCTTTAGGAATATATGAGTGCTGAGGGAGGGATAGTCATGAACCCAAACACTCAAGCTGTGGCCTGGCCAGGGGTCTATTTGGAGGGTCCAGGCATTGCTCCTTAGGCAGATCACCCCAAGGACAGACAGGCTTTCTTTGCTGTGGACTTGGGTTGGTCAGGGCTTCCCATGAGTACACCCAGCCTGTGCATGTTGGGGGCAGCCAGGGATTCCAGGGTGGGGCTCTGCCAGTTGGAGGAAGGTTGCCTCTTGACTCTTTTTCCATCCTCCAGCCAAGGCAATGTTCTACCTTCTCTGGGAGCCTAGGGATACACAGGAAGAGATGCTTGGAGCCCTGAGGATGACATGGATAAAAGAGGAGATGGGCTTCCTAGTTCTGTGAACTGGACGAGAGCACTTCCTGGGGCAGCGCCAGTGTTAGAAGGTGGTAGCAGGGGGGTCTGTGTGTGATGGTGGCCAGGAATGTCTAGATAAGTTCCCCAACCAACAAAAAGCAATACTAGGAAAATCTAGAAGGCCAAGACAGGCCCTAACATAATGCTGCACACATGGCCTGTTTGGGGGTTGAGGGGGGACCAGGTGGCTGCTTTGTCTGAGCCAGAGAGAGAGAGAGAGGGGATTTTAGAGATGGGCGGTGTGTCAGTGCGTGTGGCTGCCTCTGTGTATGTGGTGCGGTTTGTGTTCTGGGTCTGTGACCCTAAGAAGTGTATCTGTGCACCAGTGTGTCTCTGTGGGTAAGAGTTGGTAGTGCCTGAGGCCCAGGCAACTGTGCATGTGAAATCTTGTTGCCTGTGCCTAGGGGATCCGTGGCCCACAGCAGGGTGTGCTGTGTCTGCATACAGGTATCAGCAAGTGGCTGATTCTGTGAGACCGAAGAAGTCTGGAAGTATCTTTGCTTGTGTAAAGGGGACCTCCTGGCTTCTGCTTGTGATACTGGATGTGACGTTATGTGTGTTTGGATCCGTATGTTGTTTGTGTATGTGTCTGTGTAAGCCCCTGCACTTTAGAGAGCATGCCTGCTTGATGGTGTCAGGAGGGAGGTTCAGCAAATGTCTTTGTGCATGATATCGGGGTTTGTGGTTGGAAGTACGAGAGTGAGCCTTGTGTTGGTACCTGACTGAGGGCTGTTGTCTAGGCCTGCTTCTGATCTTGTCCCCAAGTGCCAGTGGCATAGCTTTGTGCCAGTAGCTATGTGTCTGTGGTTGTGTTTGCTGACACCTGACTTGTGGGCATGAAGGACACCTGAGATGGGGTGCTTGCTGGACATTTATGGCCCTGAGAAGAAGGACAAGGCAGGAAGTGGAGTTCTCAGAATGCGGCTGCAGACACAATTGGCCTGGGCTCCCAGCTAGATTGGGGGCAGGGCCTTCCTTGGTCCTGGTGTGCCCTATCTGTCTATGACCACTGACCCTTCTTCTTCTGCAGTTTCCTTTTAGTCTTGGAGCTGGGGTGAGGCACGAATCACCTCCTCAGAGATAGAACTGGAGAGTGGGTAGGCCTCAAATTCTTGATTTACCCCCTCTGCCCCCAGGCAGGCAGATTCCAGTCCTTTTAGCATTTGAGTCCATCACTGCCTGCCCTCCTTGGCCCACCCAGCTCACACATTCCCCAGGAGGGATTTACAGGGGAAATGGCTTAGCTGGGATTTTGGTCCACATCACCTCGAGGAAGCTCCTCCACCCCTGGTAACCTATCTTTGCTCTTCCTTGCTTGGGCCCCAAGACTGACAGAAAGCAGATGAGAAGGGGGCTGCGAGAGACCTCTTACTCTAGAAGGAAGCCTTGTGCCTCCCAGCCAGGTAGTGGCTTCACTGGGCTAGGACTAAGTGACACTGTCACTAGGACCAGTGACAGCAAGCCTGCTTTGTAGAACTCGTCTTGTTAGTACCAGTTAGCGGCTGGGGGAGAAATCTGTTCCCTTTCTTGGGAAAACTGTCTTCCTTGGCCTTGCACGTACTATCTAAGTTTCACAGGAGACTCCTGATAAGAGGGGCTTGGTTGGCTGGGTGGCTCATCTCACTGTGTGACTGAGGACCACTGGCCCCTCCCCTTTCTGGACCATTTTTCTCACATTTTACCCAGGGTCATCAGCTCATGCAACCTTACAGTTTAAGGGAAGATGTTTGCCTGTTAGAACCCTGGGTTCTTATTCCATCACGCCAGAGCCCATCCCCCACCCAAGCGCCCATCTTAAGCTCTGCCTCAGTTTCTCCATGTGTCACATCCTGCTGCCTCTCCCCTGCTCAACACCTACCCAATAGCTGCTTCTCAGCTTGGGCTTGGGAACGTGTTCAGTCAAACCCCAGTGGGGGTCAGTAGGCTGGGCCCAGGGAGGCACCTGGAGACTGCGGGGGAGGAAGGCCCCAGGCCAGGTGTTAACACTTGTAACAGGCAGGAATTACAGCTGGCTGGGGCTAGGGCTGGTGAGGAGCTGAGCTGGCTGGAGGCTGTTGATCCCACAGACAGACAGATGGGAGATACCAGATCGGATGGCCAAGCTTTAGCAGGGTGGTCGCCCTTGCAGAGAAGATCTTGCCTTGGGGGATTCGTCTAGGGGAAATGAATGTAGGCCCCTTGAAAACGAGTTCATGGCCCTCCTGCCCAGCCCACCCCTATTGTGGGTGGGGCCTCAAGCTCCAAAGGGAGCTCGATTGGTGGTAGATCTGTTGGTATCCTTCTGATGGCATCATATCATGCAAGATTGCTAAACAAACAAACAAAAAAAGAGAACAAGTCCAACGTTATACTAATACCAGGAGCTGTGTCCTTGGGAAGAAACTACTGGAACATACAGAGAGGAAGGTGTGGGTGCAGGAGGGGGCACAGCTATCGGGGGAAAGCCCTCCCCCCCCCCCGCCCTAATTTCTAAGTGTCTTGTTGATAGCTTTGGGACCAAGCTGGGCCTGACCTGCTTCTCCATCCAGGAGATTCTGAGGTCTTGGGCCCCTGGATGTCTATCCTGCAAAGGGCACTGATGGCAGAAGAGGTGATCTGGGAGTCTAGGTCTGGTACCTGCTGTGGCTGCCCCACTGTGAACTCAGATAGAGCTCTCCAGGGCCCACACTCTCACACCTGAGCTCCTGTTCCACCCCTGACTATAGAGGTCACAGACAGACAGGGTGGGACGGGGGTCACAGGTAAGACTCCTCAAGGAACAGACTGGTCCAAGCAAGCTTCTCCCATCCTACAGAACTCAGTGTCTGCCTAAGGATGCAGTGAGCAGGGGAATGAGAACTAAATCCAGTAGCCTCCTACCAAAGCTGATGAAGAGAAGGGCCTCCCTTATCTCTGCCCAGCACCCCACTTGAAGGCTGGGTCCCCACATACATTCTTTTTCCTTTATGGGGGGAGGGGTGGAGTGGGGCTTCTATATAACAGTCCTGGCTGTCCTGAAAACTCACTCTATAGATCAGGCTGGCCTCGAACTCAGAGAGATCCACCTGCCTCTGCCTCCCGAGTGCTGGGATTAAAGGCGTGCGCCACCTCCCCTGCCTGGCTATCTATTCTACTTCTATATATTCACACTGGGTATTGGAAATTGTTCGGCCCGGGAGTGGAGAGACTCCTGTCTAAGTTCTGAACTTGCCATCCGTGGGTTGTGTGACCTGGGGCGGATCTCTGTCCTTCTCTGTGCCTTTGGCCCCTGCCTCTCTCTGGGCTTCATGTCCTTGACTATGCTGAGGAGTGTTCATTCATCTTCTCAGTGTCTCAGGCCTAT